AAAAAAAAAAAAAAAAAAGATTTATGTCTAGTAACATTGAAATCTTTTCATTACATGTCACTTGAATCTTGCAGAAGGGTATATACAATACGTATAAAAATTGTCATTATTAGGTATGTAAATTAGTTGTCTGTTAAAGTAGACAGCGATTTCAGTTGGATCACGAAGGAGTTTAGCCACGCCTTTGGTGCTCGTTTCGCGCTACACGTGCTCGTCGTCGACGGCTTCTTCGTTTTCGAAATCGTTTCCCGCAGATAGAGTCCGGTTACGCGGTTTCTGCTTATTCGGCAGATGACCGGACGTGACGTCACTGGAACCATGCGAGTGTTGATTGCAGATGCTAGATGCGATCCGACACCCGGCTTCTTTTGCCTTCCTTCTCCTCGCAAATCCACCTCGCGGATCACGCCGCGGCTTCGCGTTACGTGACGCTTCGGTTTGGTCGTCTTTCGTGTCAAAATCTACGACGTATAACTTTCTATAGGCATAAACTTCCGACGCTAAGCCAACTAATATATCCTTGTTGCCAACTGAAAGCCCCAGTAGAATTTCTTTCTGTTAGACTTGATTGTCGCTTTCGCGATATGAAAATTGCGAGATAAATTTTCAATTATCATCCTCGTATAATTTCTCTTTATAAAAAAAGGCGAAATAGAACAGAAAGCTTCCTGGTAATTGTCTTTAATGAACAATACTCAATCTTAATTATCCTTCAAAAAAAAAAAAAAAAAAAAAAAAAAAAAAACAGTCTTAAAGTAATTTTATCAAAATTTTTAAATCATCCGATACACGACTAAACAGAGTTGCACTTGATATCCTTCGCTGTAAAAATACTTTCCACGTGTCGACCTTGATTAGCTACTTTTATATTGCTATCTTTTCACGCGATGAAAAGTTTCTTCGGCTATCAAGTTCAAAAATAGCGGGGGCCGTTATCGCGAAGTATGTGGTGGAAAAAGAAAAAATCAAATCGGCAACGGTTACGTAGACGATCACAGTCGGTGAAGTACGAAGGTCGCCGTTTTGAAGTCAAGGCGACGAGGCATCTCGCCGGCGCGGATTGTGCGATGCAACGCGATCAGTGTACTCACGTACAATTTCGTGGTCAGCAAACGAAGACGAGAAACGAGGCGCGATGAATCGGTTTATTAATAAGACTCTACCAGGAACGAACGAACAGTTTCAAGAAGCACCGAGCTGTGCAAGTGACTTCGTCGTCGTCGTCGTCTCTGGTTTGTGCAGATCGGTATCTTGTACAGGATGTCGTTACAATCTTTCTTCGTTGTTCGACATGATGCGATATATCTCACGAACGACGATGGTACACGAAGACGCCATTTAATGGCCATATTGCAATTACAGATTATGAAATGGTTGTGAATTATTAAGGTATTTTATTCTTACGTCTTTAAATCGTCTCATTACGTGTAACATACGTTCCAATATTAATATTTATTTTCTATAAGAAAGCCAGGAAGAAATGTTAATCTCTCTCTTCCTCTTATCTTATAATTCGTATGTATTTCCTCTTCGTCGAACTCGATAGGATTAAAATGAAATTGTAAGATTCAAGATCGTTGACAGAAAATTAAAACATCGCAATCAGTCTCAGTTAGGAAGAGAATAGAATAGAAGAAGGATCAACGAATTAAGAAATATTGATGGAGTGAATCGTTAGAGGGAATCAGACGAATCAATGTTTACTTATCTCGAAAGAATCGAGCGAGGAGATAAAAGGCAGAAAAAGTGCTAGCAATAGGGGAGATATTGGCTATTAAATTTAATAGCCGAGGAAGAGAAACGGTGGTTCTTCTGCTCTCTTCCTCGTCCACTTCCTCCCTTGACTTTGCTAAAACAATAAAAACTTGCCATTAATAACGGCGTGGTGACAAATATGACGGAACTTCCGACGTGGCCCGGAAGTCGCTAAATGTGCCAGCAGTTAGTTTCATTCCCCTTCGCAAACCTCGGTCACTGCTTCTTCGCTTCGATAAATTTATTTTATATCATTTCTTCAGGTATTATTTAAGATCAAGAATAATACAGTCTTTCCCATATATAATAAATTTTCTATCCATTCCAATTGATAATTCAACTGGATAATAAATTTCAATCAATTTCAGTGATAAACTCACTGAGACTCGCGCATCTGTTGAAAAAAGAATACATAAATACGTAAATAATTTCTGTATAAAAAGAGTTTCATGGCAAAAACATTCTATACATTCGATACGGTACCGTTCCCCGTTACTGAAGAGCGACTTATCGCTCGTGAAACGGAACATTATGTTTTTAATCACGGCGACACAAATACCGCGATTCGATTGTTCCCCAAGCCGATACACAGCGATGATCCGAGAATAATTGAGGCACGAATGGCAAACAGATCTGCATCCTAACTGCTGGATGCTGGCTACTGCTATGCCTTTCCCCCTTTCTCCACCTTTTTCCCAACCCTGCGCTCTATGACCGTGGCACGATCTCTACTTCATTGTCATCTGTCATCGCGCCGCGAACAAATGAGTGTCTCAACAGCCGGCAGACAAATGACTCCAAGGATTATCCGGCGAAACGTTCTTCGTCTCTCTCCTCGTTTCTCTTTTGAACTTCCTTCCTCCTTCACCCTTCTCAATTCCAGTCTCTTCTCTCTTTTTCATCGTGATTCTCTCCTTTTTATCACCACTACCTATTTCTTCCTTTCTTCCTCTGTACCAGTGTTTCCCAACCATTTTATAATAACGAAATATGTAACCTGCGGCCAACTTTTTCCTCTCATATTAGGGGAAAGACTACGTAGATATCTTCTCACAGCATTCTACAAAATTGAAGTATAGTAACAGTTAACATGTAACAAGGCACAGGTCGCAAGTTATCGATATTTGCCAATAAATTCCCTTCTATAACAGTAACAAGTTTGGAAATGAAAGGAAATGTGCCAATTAAGAACTGTGTGAAAATCGTACATTTTTAATAAAAGTTCTTAAGAACAGAAACATAGAAGAGTCAAAACAGCCAAAAAATAAAGATACAATAAGTACTAATATCCAATCACCACGTAGAAGATACAAATTCTTCAAAGACACTGATTCATATTACAGTATCGAACTGTAACCATTTTATATAAGTACCATTTTCATCACTGATGACGGAGAATTCGCGAAGTAAAGAAAGAAGATGCATTAAAAATAGCGATTTCAGAACACACAGTTCTAACTTTGTAATTAATGCCAAGAAAGTCTTCAATTAAAGGTGTAGAAAATTAGAAAACACTTATATTTTTGGGGAGTCATAGGTTGGGAACCTGGATTCTATATCTTTTTCGGTTCTTCCTTCCCATCCTTCCGTTTCCATTCTTTCATCCTTTTATTTTCTACTCTTCTCGTCCTTGTCATTGATCGTTTGTCCGTTTCCCTCGTTGGTTTTCTACTTATGAATGAATCGGGGGATATCCTCGAATCACCACAACTGACTTCGCCGAACACTGCGGATCAGTTTGTTTCGCCAAGCTCGAAATAACCCGTGAGTGGGATCCCTGGATCCTTCGGCGATTGATATTAACGTGGTCGGACTCGAGCTTCCTCGATATATACCGGGTTACCAAACGATTTTGTCGTTGCGGATTCTGTTGGAATTTTCACTGGATGACTGATTGCGGTGATTGAAGCCGACGACGGATAATTAAAAGTTCGATTAACGCGTTCGATTGTTTTGTAATTGAATTGCGATTGGGTGTTGGAAAACTGTTCACGCTTGTCTGCGTCCGGAAAATTCGATTTCGTCGTGTTAGTTGTTGTAAAAATCATTGCTGCAATAAAATTATTGTGTGAGAATGTGAACCTAAGTGTTGGCTTTTCAGTATGTATTATGTATTATTGATGTTTCTCCGATACAAAAGAATATGTACAAAATGTTGACAAATGTTTTTATTATTTTGTAATTTCTTTAGTGCGTTAATGTTTCCACATTACAGAGCTTTTTTTGCCGATCCTCGTTCTTATGCCAATTCTAATCCCATTAGAATTT